GTCTTAAAGTGCTTTCCCTCTCAAAAGTATTATTTGTGAACTATGCTGTTTTTGCTGTTCTTTTTTATTTGCACAGAACAATCTTTATTATGTACTTTTATAAATATATACTGGATGTTTTAAAATGTGTTATTAAAAAAAATGTGAAAAATAAAAACTAAAACAAAAGAAAGAGTCCTCTGATTTAACTTCATTTTGCCTTTATTCTGCTTACCCACCACTCCTTTTAATACAAAGTCACTTAAGTAGCCACTGGACGACCGTTCAGTATTAACACTCAAAAAAGAGAATACACAGTTACCAGGGCTGTGAATAAAACAGTAAAGAAGAAAGGACAAGAATGTGGAGTATTTTAAAACAAAAAACAAAAAAGTTCTCATTGTCTTCTGTATGAAAGTGTGATCATGTGTACTTGTCACTACTGAGCCCTGCGTGTTGTCATTGTGACTGTAACATGTTTGGGAGGCTAAACTGAGCAATACACCACGTACTGTTGGGCGCATCCGTTAGTATATGTCTCGAAGGCCCAGATTACCACGGTGAGCAGACGAGCCGTGAGCCACGGTGACGCTGTAACAGTAGAGCAGGTCTGTCAGCCACTGCTCCCTGGTTGCACCCCGGGAGAACCTCTGAAACACACGCACAAAGTAATCTGGTGATCAATCTCCATCCGTGTCATTCAAATACCTTCAATTGAATATGCCTGCATCTGTGTGGGCGCGTTTACCGTGAGGTGCTGGAGGATTTCTTGCAGCAGAGTGGTGTTGGCCAGCAGCTGGCTGTGGAGCGACGTGTGCTGCAGCAGCATGGAGAGAATCTGTCCGAGCTGCGGCAGCTCCTCCTCGTTCAGATTGGCAACGCGCAACGACTGCAGGACAACCCGCAGCAGGCGAGGAATGCTGCTCAGCGCTGTCACGCAAGCACCCCAAATTGCTTCCCTGCAAATGTCAAGCAAGGGTGTTAACACATTCGATCAAAATCAATCAGCACAGATCACTGAAAGAGTTTCAAGCACACCTTTTGTGGTTGGTTTCAGTAGGTGCCTCCTGCTGCAGGGTGAGGAGCAACGACAACAGGCTGAGGCAGCACTGTGACAAGAAGCGCAACACAGGCTCAAGGGGCAGGACTGAGAGATCCAGCAGTCTGGATACAGCTCTCAGCAGCCCGGCTGCCATGCTGTCGGAAACCACCTCTAACTTGGTCTGAGACACACACACACACACACACGCGCACACACACACACACACACCAAAAGTATAAATAAAATAAAACTGCCATAAACAAACTTTATGTAAAAATATCAGTGTGATTTACTGCATGCTTAATAACAAAAGTCTCTTACCAGGTAGTTGCAAATGCCAGTTTGTAAGATGTCAAAGCACTGAGACTTTGAGCCCAGAGTTTCCAGACAGTGGCACACTTCCTATAAATCAAACAGTTATTTTGGTTATGACCATATTCATACATGTGTCTCACTGATGCAATGATTTCAAAATCCGAATGTGTGACTGAGGGATCTGACTGCAGATATGTAAGCACACGAGCTCTAAAACAGACATACACACTCCATCAACAGATTTTCTGCTCTTATTTTATCTTTTTGTTAAAAAAAACAAAACAAAACAAAAAAACACAACTTTTTATTTTGTTGCATTCTTCACAAATACAGGTACAAAAACAAAACAAAAACAGGAAGAAGGAAACTAAGTATGTAACTGGATTACATACATCAGTTTCTCCCAGTTTATTGTAAATTGATCACCATAATATTTGAATAAAAAGTAATTCTCTCAGTTTCTTGAATATTACTCACTATGGCAATCCATTTATTCTCAGCTGGGGGTTCAGATTTAAAGATTTTACAGGTTACTGCTAAAATCCTTAATAAGTATTTATCTTTGACAGGTAAACTTCTCATAATTGTACAAAAAAGAAAAATTACGCTCTCTTCCAAATAACAGTGTGCACTGCCCTTGTTACCTCCTCCCAACGTATTTTTAAAAAAATATTTTAACTCCATGGTGGCCCATAAAAAAAAAAAAAGAAAGCATACAGAAAGAATGCAATATTCCCGATTGTCACTTGACTACCAAAGATGTGACATACAAATTACTTTTAGTTTCAGTTTCACTATTTTCACTTTCCAGATTGTCAGCAAGCGAGTGGTTTCAGGCCTAAACCACCGACATGCCACTAACTTTTTAAAAGTGAAAAATAAGGCTCAGCTTTCCGTCATTAACTTGAAATCCAAATCAAATTTCTCATTAACTTTTATCAAATTTAGGTGCGTGTGTGTGAGCCGGTGGGTGTCTGAACGGTGCACCTGTTGGCATTCTCGCCGTCATTAAAAACAATCCCATCTCATTAGCCGAACTGGAGTTGACACAGTCCGTCCTTAATGCCGCCCCCCCTTCCTTCCATCCTAACCAAGCGTCCCCCTCCGCTCCCCCTTCCTTCCACTTCCCTATGATTGACTCAGACAGGGAGATGAGAGAGGTAGGATCTGAGACCTTAATTGAGGAGCTGAATTAGTGATTATAAGCCCCCCACTTGCTCACACACTCACACACTCTTGCCCCAGGGCACAGTTACGTTAACGGTAATTTCTGTGCAGAAATGTCACTCTCCCATCATGCCATGGGCTCTCATTAGCATTTGTGCATATCCACTATGCCCGATAACCACGCATCTCCAACCTGCGCAACGCGATAAACGTTCCCCTCTCAGCCAGAGTGCAACGATAAAGCTTCCACCCTCTGAGCTCAATAGGAGAGACGGAGAGAGACCGGGGGGACCGACAGACCACAGCTGTGTCCAGAATATCAAAACAATGTCTTTTCTACCCCTTCCTTCACCTGCAAGTCTGGGTCTCCTCCAGATTTATTTCTAATGTTAAATTAAGGGTTTAGGTGTGGGATTAAAAAGGTGAACAGTGAACACACCTCAACAATGTCCCAGTGGTGTGTGAACTGCTCCAGCGGGGTGGGGTAGAGGCTGAGAGGTGAAAGAGCGACGGGAGGCAGGACACTGTCATCCTCTGCCTCCTGCAGGGAGGCGAGCTGTTCGGACGAGAAGCCTATGAGGGTGGAGAACAGGAAGCTGAAATAGTCCACGTGCTGCAATGCCGCTTCCTGGCTCCCAGCTGTCCAGCTGCTCAGAGGGGACCTGGAGAACATAATCAGTGATCATGTTACACAATCAAAAACCCTGAATTGTTATTTGAATCTCAGGCTTTGTAAATTTTGAAAGTTCTCACATTTCAAACACTTTAGGATTATTCAGGATTTGATTTCAGTGTTCTTCTATTTTCAAGAATATTAAGAATAACAGCACACTGAAATATAATTATGAAAACTTCTTCCTTGCCCTGTGGGGGAATATAGATTTGTAACAGTGAGAAATGTGTGTGAATAACAGGGTGTTTCATAAAGCCCGGGAGACACATGCAGACCATCTTCTCAATACTCCATGACGATCCTGCATTCCAGCCTCAAAAAGAGCTCTTTGTACAACACTCGAGACACACACACACACACACACCCGTACACACACTCCATCCCATATGAACTCAGTACTCCCACCACTCAAAATTTGTATAACACTGCCCCACTGACATAAGAATAAGGTCAAACATGGCAGCACACACATATCATCACAGAGAAAGGTTAACTGGGGATGATAATAGAACAAAATATAATAAAAAAAAAAGTGGTTTAATTGTCACAAGGAAGTTGAATATCAAAAATACAGAATATTCATCTCAGTTTATGTCAACAAGCAGGTAATAGATCATAAAAGCTATCACCAATAAGTCTGTGAAAGAACAACACTGCCATCTGATGGTGATCAGGCAGAGCGTCGTTTGTGTGCCTGTGTGCCAGCAACCATCAAACACAACTGTGTTCATGTGCTTTCCAAAGCGGGTCTGAAAGCTCACCTAAGATGTATGATACGAATCAGAGAGGCGGCGAGGCCGGCAGAGATTCGTCCAGCAGTGCAGCAGCTGCTCAGATTGGCCAGAAGAGGCTGGGACATCTTGGGGAGGAAGTAGAGCAGCTGCACCATTCGCTGCTGGGACTCTGATGGTAAGAGCACCACGACCCCATCCTGTGGATCTTCAGACAAACAGAGATGCACAAGTCACGTGTAATTATGGACAGACAGCAATTCTGTGCACCCTGTGGGGATTTAACGAGGAGCTCTATCTGGAAAATTAGGACCAATACTTGGAAAACCAGACTATGTTGGGACCAGTAAAAGAGAAAGACGAAAGACATAACTACTACAGTATTGGCTCAGATAATGCGTCTGTGTGTGTGGTGTTCTGCCCGTCTCTGACGCACATGCTGATGTCAGAAGCTCTCAGACAAAAGGAGTCTTGTGATGGTGAATTGCTGGCTCTGCGGCAGTTTCTATCAGAAACACCCCCCCTCCTCCCCTTCCCAACCCCCTCTGTTACACACCAGCTATCTAACTATCTGACCATTCTCTGAGCTGTTCTTATGGACGGGTTTCCAGCAATGTACAAAGTTGCCTGGAGTGGCTAACACAGCGTTGTAGTGCCTCCTATGGGAACTACTCTAGTTAGAGAGTCAGATTTTTGGAGGTCTGTATACCTTTGCTAGACCTATGCATGCAACATATGAATATAAGGAAAATGACAGGAAAAAAAAGCTTCTACACTTCTTCTTTTAGGTTAATTTTGTGATTCCAACCTCTGATTGCAAATTAATGCATTTCTACACCTACAGTATTTTTCCCTGGTCGTGATGTGTCTGTAACCTCGGAGTGTTCTTCCCTCAGTTTGGTCTTTTACACACACAAAAGTTCAAGTGAACTGAAGTCGATCAAGAGCTGCAAGAATTTGTATTTTATAGAACAGATTTAAACTGTAAAAATAAAAACTCCTTCGAGGATGCCAATGTTCACATTTTGGATAAAGACAGATGGTTTGAAA